GAGTGACTGAAGGCTGGCGCTCAGGCTGCCGGTTGCAGAGCAGCTGAAGGCAGCTGGGGAAGGAGTGAGTACCTGCTGTGAGTCCAGACAGCATCCTGGTGCCCCCAGCTGTGTGATCTTGGACACATAGCTCACTTTCTTCAAGGCCCAATTTTCCTTGTAAAATGGAGATAAGATTGGCCACTTCACCCTGCAGGCTATTGTTAGACTTAAGTATGAATGCTGAGTTTGGATCCTGGCACGTAGTAGGTGCTTAAGAAAAGTGCTGGCCCATGTAACACAGTGTGAATCACAGCTGTGCCAGTTGGAAAGGGTGACGATCTGGAGGAAATTGGGCTATACCTGAAATGAAATAAAACAAAATTTTAAAAATTAGAAACTTGCAAATACAAAGTCAACTCTGTTGTGACTTACAAATGGCAGTATCTACTTTGGTGACAGTAATCTAAATTAGAAAATACTTACTTAGAATGATGCACTACACTCAATAGTTGACCCAAGGTCAAATGCTGATGGTAGAAACCACCAGACACTCAAAAAATAATAATAAATAAATACAAAGAGAACACAAACAAAAAAGAAAACAAAACTACCAGACATTCTAACAAGGAGTTTATTGGGCCTCATTTGCCTCTTTTAAATGGAGCCAGCAGCTGTATAGTTTGTTTTTAAATGAGAAGAAAGAGGAAGACATACCTGTGCAAAACTCAGTCACCAGGTGACGGAAACTCAGCTCTGTTTCTGCCAGGGTACAGGAATTGCTAGCAGTTGGCTCACATCCCTCTTGGATCAGTGACTTGCTGTGGTAAACAGTGCCTTGACTGATTCTGCTCTAGATCAGATAAATGGCTTTTTATTTAACTGATGGGGGCGGGGGTGTCTTTGGGTGCTGCAACAGAAGCGAAATGACATTTGTTGACGTTGATTTTCCAAAACACATTGCTTGTTTACTGACAAGCTTAAGAATTTAAAAATCTGTGGATCCAAAATTGTGGGGACAGGGTCTGGGCATGCCTACTTATTCTATAAAAAGGACTGCTCTTACAAAATACTGTGTTTTCTCTTTTCACTACCATTTTAGGCCTTGCAAATAGAAATATGGCTTAGGGCAAATAGCTGCTCTTTAATTTGGGTTAAGATACATACTACCTGTATGGTGGGTTACATTCTTCTCCATGTATTTGTAAAAGGGGAGTTTTTCCTCAGAGAGAGGGGGTTGAGGTTGTGGAGAGAGAGAAAGGAGGAGGGAAGGAGGGAGAGAGAGAGAGAATATGAATGTGTGTGTTTGGGATTTGTCTTGTCCACTCTCTACTTCACTCTCAATCAGCCATTTCTCAACCCAAAGAAGTTCTTTTTTCTGCAAGCCCTGTGACTTTGGCAAGTTCCCTCTCTTTTTGGCTCTGTGGCCTGATTTCGTTTCACAGTAGCTCTGTTAGAAAGTTTTTTCTAATTTGACTTTTAGGTTGCAAACTTTAGGGACTCCATGGTACAGCATGGAGCAAACATGCTCATTCTCTCAGGCAAAGGCTCTCCCTTATTTGAAGGCAGCCTGTGTACCCTTTGTGTGTTTTCCCCTCCAGACTCACCACCTTCAATCCTCCAACCATTCCTATGGAGGACAAGTTTAAGAGCAGAAAATGGTCTTTAGACTGCTTGCATCAGAATCACCTAGGAGCTTGTTAAAATGCACCATTTCTGACCTACTGAGTCATAATCTTCCAGAGTAAGACAGAAATGTGCATGTCTGATAAGGGCTCCTGGTGATTCTTATGAACTTTTGGTTACTTATATGTGTGTTTGGGGGTGGGGATTGGTAGTGGGGGACTATTCATTCTTTGTAAATTTCTGTATTGTTTGTCTAGTTATATAATGAGCGAGAGCCTCTTTTTTAACTTCAACAAACAAACAACTCATGATGTCCAACAAAGATATATGGATAGCAAATAAGTACTTGAAAAGATGCTCAGGATCATTAATCATTGGGAAATGCATGTTAAAACCGCAATGAGATATCACTTCGTACCTATTGGGATGGCTAAAAAGACTGAATACACTAAGTGTTGATGAGGTTGTGTGGGAACTGGAACTCTTATACACTGTTGGTGGGAATGTAAAATGGCTCAAACACTTTTAAAAAGTTTGACATTTTCTTTAAAAGTTAAATATATACCTATAATGTGATCCAGACGTTTAATTCCTAGGTCCGACTTGACTGTAGTAGAAAAATGGAAAACAACCAATTGTTTATCCAGTGCATGGATAAACATACTATGGTATATGCATACAATAGAATACTGCTCAGCAATAAAAAGTAATGAACTATTGATACGTACTACAGCATGGATTGATCTCAAAATAAGTTTTCAAAAAGAAGCTAGACCAAAAAAGAAAAAAAAAAAAGAGTACATGCTATACAATTCCATTTATATAAAATTGAAGAGGCATTGCTATCTCTTACCTGACATCAAACTTTTGGTGGCTTCCAAGAGTTGTGTATGATCATATTAGTCTTATAATAGTGTCATTGGCAATTTGATCATGATTCTGCCAATGTCATTCATTCATTAATTCAACTGAGTACCCACTAAGTGCAAAATCTAGAGTAGACACTAGATAATGCGTTGATGAATAAAAGAGACATGATCCCTGCCCTTTTAGAGCTTATACTCTATTGAATGAAACAGCAAAACAAATAGATAAGAAAAATAACTATTGTGAGAATGGAGTGGTTCTTTGGAAGGAGGATGGGAGTCAGGGAGGAATTGTCTAGATTTTGAGCAGGGAAGCAAAGCAGTCAGTTTCATGTTTTTAAATGACCACATCCAGTCAGGAGGCTGTTGTCCTGGTCGAGGAGAAAGGTGGCAGAGGTTTAGATTCAGGTGGTCGTAGAGATAGAAAGTTGTACCAGTTTTTTGTCCATATTATTGACCTATTGCCTCTTCCCACCTCTAGCCTCTGTCACCACATCTTATTTCTTATTCGTAAGGATATTACAAGAGACTAACGTCAACACTTTGCTGGGTTAGTTACACTAAGCATGCAGCATTCCTTTGATCTACTGATCTAGTTAACTTGAAGTAAGGGAATGAAGATAGTCTGGCATGACCTGTCTGTTGTTCTTGTAACCTATGCTGGCTTCATGTGATCTCTGTTTCCCTTTCCAAGGGCTGACAGACCATCTGTTTTAATCAGGTGGCAGAAACGCAGCTCAGCGTGACTTATGTCAAAGCAGGATGGAGAATGAAAATGTTTTAGCCCGTGTAAAAAAAAATCCAAAGGAAATCGGATTCTATCATGGCTGGATTGAGTAATGCCATCAGGGCTCAGTCTCATGGTCTCTCCATCTCTCAGCTCCATTTCTTTGGCGTTAGCTGCATTCTCAGTCAGCCTCTGGTATATAGTTCTTCTTCTTATTATCATCGTGATTACCTGTTCTCGCCATCTGCTTGAGTATGACCAGCCAAGTATCCTTAGACAAGTTCTTCATCCATCTGATCCCTAGTAATGTTATCATTTCCAGTTTAACAGTAATAGTAACAAAAACAGCAGCTACTATAATTGAGAGCTTATGGTGTACCAAGCAGTCTGTTAGACACTTATAATATTATCTTATTATGAGGAAGGTTACATAATTATCCCAAGAAAGCCAGCTAATTGATTGCAGAATCAAAATTTGAAATCATGTTTTCTGGGCTCTGAACCTTCACAATGCCTCCTGCAGTCACTCTTCAGGGCTAAGAAGAGGAAAGCAAAGCCATCAAATAATGTGCCTGTTTCTTACTTTTTTCTGAACATGAATCCTACAATGTAGTTGGCAGTCATAGCAGGGGCAGAGCTGCGGGGTTCTTATAATTTTGTCCATCCCAGATCCTTCTGGGTTTGAGAGTCTTGGAAGCTCCATGTACAGGACCTTGCCCTCTGACTACTGTCAATATCTTTATAAGCCAGGCTCATTAGCCAGGATCCCCCTATGTGGCCACCCTTGTTTCTATAAGTGTTTCCTCCCTTTATTCTTCAATACAGTCCTGCTATCATGATGCTTGAACTTTACCTTTGACAGCCTT